ATTTTTATAAGATCTCACTGTATTAACTGGAAGCAATATAATGATACTGTAATTTCACATTGTCTGATTCCTTCAAAACTTAAAATATTCTCTCTCTTCTTTGAGATCTCTTTGACTAATTCCTTTTTTTTTCCTTTTCTTTTTCTTTTTTTTTTTTTTTTTTTTTTTTTGTAGCAGAGTTTGAACTGAAGGGTGCTTAACCAATGAGCCACATCCCCAGCCATTTTTATTTTGAGACAGGGTCTCACTAGATTGCTTAAAGCCCTCCTAAATTGCTGAGGCTGGCTTTGAACCTGTGACCCCTCCCTCAGTCTCCTCCCAAGTCACTGGGATTACAGGCATGAGCCACCACACCTAGCAACATTGATTCTTTATTTTACAGAAACTGAAATCTTATTGATGAGTTTTCGCTTTTGTGTCAAAGAAAAATTCTCAATTTGTCATCTCTTAATTTCATCAGGGTTATGTGAATCAATTTCAATACTGTCAATTTCACACTTTACTTGGAAACTCTGAACTTAGAATTATTTTGTAATAAAACATTTGATATGTATTAGTATTTGCAAAAATTATTTTTAAATAAACTACTGCTTTTATTTTTATAACTGGCTTTTAAAATACAATTTTAAAAATATGTCCACAATTCTTTGATATACCTCTGTTCAGTAGGTAGAACTTTATTCTGCTTCCTGTCTATATGGGCCAGATTTATTAACTCACATCTAACAAACAGAATATGGTGAAAGGGGCTTCCAGGACTAGGTCACACTGTAGCTCTTGTGTATCACTAGCTCTGAATAAGGCACTGTAGCTCTTGTGTATCACTAGCTCTGAATAAGGCAAGATACCATGTTATATGACACTTAAGTAGTACTTCAAAGGAGACCATGTTGTGAGGCACTGAGTCCTCTTGCCTTAGCAAGGAATTGAAGGTTCATTTTGTCTTGGTTTTGAAAACTATACATTATTACGATTATTAGCAGTAGAACAGCTATTTTATTTCCATCAATCATTGATAAAATAATCCAAGTCTAGCTACTAAGTAGCTGAAGTTAGAAGTAAAAATGAATAATAAATGAATATAATGCTTTCAAATAATTTATAAGATTCACAGCTAACTTCTCCCCAAAGATTTGTCCAAACTTGCAATCCCCAATTCCTTTTCTCCTATTTGCTCTTGAAACAACACCAATCAGGTTTTCTCCCTCTTACTCTTGAAAGTACTCTGCAAGGTCGCCAATGACCTTCATATTGCCAATGGCAATAGTTATCTTCTAGTCTTCACTTCATCAGACTTGACAAATCAGCAGAAGGCAATACTGTTGATCACTTCCTCCTTGATAAACTCTATAACTTTGGCCTTCAGCACTCCACACTCACCTTCTTTTCCACCTACCTTCAAAAGCTTCTTCCTGGTCTTCTCTGAACTTGACTTCTTTTTCTTTGTTTTTGGTACTGAAGATTTAAACCCAGGGTCACTTAACCATACTCAGCCACATCCCCAGCCCTTTTTATATTTTATTTGGAGACAGGGTCTCACTGAGATGCTCAGGGCCTTGCTAAATTACTGAGGCTGGCTCTGAACTCTCAATACTTCTGCCTCAACTGCCTGAGCCGCTGGTATTACAGGCGTGCACCATCACATCTGGCTCCTCTGAACTTCTTAATCCTGCCCATTTGTGAACACAGAAAGTTCCCCARCTCAATCCTCATTTCCTCAGATTATATCTCAATTTCTCAGTCTCAAACGCAGTCTTTCTACTGATGTGCAAATTTCTACTCCCATTTAAACCTTGCCTTTGAATTCTAGTCTCTCATCACCCATTTGAATAGGCATCTTAAACCTAACTAAATTAAACTGATTCCTGCTTCATCCACCTGCAGATACCTCTCCACCTTTGGTCTTTTTATCTCAGTATATAGCCACTGCATCCTTTCAATAGCTCAGGACAAAGGCCATGTCATGCTTCAGTCTTTCATTCTCTCTTTCCAGTCAATCCATTATCAATCCTGTCAATCCTCCTGGAATATGACTGCTTCTTACTATATAGTCCTCCTTTATCCATGGTTGCTTTCCATGGCTTCAGTTACCCAGGGTCAACTGTGGTCTGAAATATCAAATGAAAAATTCCATAAATAATTCTTAAGTTTTAAATTGTGCACCATTCTATGTAGTAATGAAATCTCAAGCTCTCCAATTCTGTTCCCAATGGAACATAAAGCATCTTTTTGTTCAGTGTATCATCTCTGTATATGCTACCAGCCCTTTAGTCAGTTAGTAGCTTTCTCAGTTATCAGATCAACTGTTGCAGTATCAGTGTTGTATATGCTTATATTCAAGTAACCCCTATATAGTAGTCTACATCACTATGCCTATGTCATTCACCTTGCTTCATCTCATCACACAGGCATTGTGTCACAAGAAGGGTGAGTATAGTATATCAGAAATTTTGAGAGAGACCACATTCACAAAACTTTTATTATAGTGTAATGTTATAATTCTTATTTTATTATTGTTTTTAAATCTCTTACTAATGCCTAATTTATAAAGTAAATTTTTATCATAGGTATGTATGTATAGGAAAACACAGCAAACTATATGTGGGATTTGGTCCCATCCAAGGTTTCAAGCATCCACTAGAGGTATTGAAACATATTCTTCACAAATAAGAAGTAACTATGGTACCTCTATTACTACCAYCTGGTCTAGGACACTACCATTACTTATATTATAGCACCACCTCCTGACTGGTCTCTGTTTCCAGGCTAGCTCTTTCAGTTGATTCTGAACATAGCTGCCACAGTGATACTTTAAAAACATTGTCAGATCCCCTTCATTCCTCTGTTCAGATCCCTGTTACCACCTCCCTCCTCATTGGAAGTCAAAGTCAAAGTCTTTACCAGGAACCATTAGGTTTCTGACCTCATCCTCCTCTCTCCCTCCCATGCCCATCCCCACTATCCATCTGTTCAAACCCAATGGGCTCCTTGCTGGGCCTCCAATAAAGCTGGCAGATTCTGGGCTTTTGTACTCACTTGATATGCTCTTCCTCTGATGGATCATGGTTATTCCACACTCCTTCACTTCGCTCAGGAGCCTTCTCTAAGGCACTAATCCTTATTTTAAAACACATCTGCTCCTTCCATGGCACTTCCTATCCCTCTTAACTACTTTTTCTTCTTAGCAACTGTTACCACCTAACTGGATATATTTTAATTCTTAATTTGTTTATCATCCCTGCCTTATTCTGGTATAATATTAGCTCTGTGTGCAAAAGAAATTTGTTTTGTCACTCTTAAACTTTAGAATGGCATCTAGCCATGAAAGGTAATCTGTATACATTTGCTGTTGAATGTTGAATGAATATTGAATACACAAACTCAAATCCTGAGAAGGCTAACAGACTTGGATGCTATAATATCCAACCTCTTTCCACAATGGGAAATACAATTTCCAGTCTAACAATGATAGGAACTGTGAAAATCCTTTATCTTCCATATTAACTAATGCAATTTGCTCTAAGTAAAACAGTGAAAGTCTATTTTTTTTAATTTCACAGCCTCTCTCCAATATGCTTTGTAGAGCCTGTTAAATATTAACTTACTATTATATCAAAAAATCTTTAATTTCTTTCTGATACTGCTAACATAATATTGTGAAAGCTATGTGAAATCATCAAAACTGATATAGAAACAGAAGTAATGAAGCATGTTAACAACCAAACAGGTCTCTCTCTATTTCAAATCAGATTGTACTGAAGTAGTGAGGACCACAATCCAATATTAACTTCATTATCACTATAATCCTTGGTGAGCAAACATTTTTCTCACTAAACTCCTTTTAAATAAAAAGTAGTTGGTACAGGACTCTTGCTTATAGTCACACATATTAAGTCTGAGAGAAATCAGTTTGAGCTACAAATCAAATTAGTAAATAAAAAATTACAGGGAATTACCATGTTTGGACCAATAACAGAAGCAGACAATAGAATAAGGGAGATGAAGCTCAAATTCTGCTCATCCTTTGCCAGTTGCCTGACCTCCCACAAGTTAATTTTGACTGTGCTTCAGCTTCCTTATCTGCAAGTTGGAAAAGGTATCTTATAACATTGTGCAAGGATTCAATAAAATCAGTAGTATTTAAAACACTTGGCACAACAGTGACACAAAATAAGCACTGAAGATAGCTACTATTGTAATATAAAGAAAATCATCCCCACACCACTGATAAAACAGCTCTTTAAACCAAGAATCTCCTAGGCAACTACTGTTCCCTGAAGAATGAAAAGTGTTACAATTCAGTGGCACACGTTTACCTTATGTTTGGCAGCCAATTCTGAACACAGTGGAACGTTCTAAAGAATAAATGCCTTTTTCTCAAGGCAGCTGGACAATCTGGAGAGAAAATGATCTGCTTCTTAGCACTGCATATTAATTCGGAGTGGAGGTCTGTGATCACCTGAGGCCTAAGTGGAAAGTGTGCAAATCCTGTYTTATCACGGGCACTCCAGGGCCACATGCCATTCTGGACAGTGCACTCACATCTCCACAGCTTCCATTTACCGACTCCTCATTACTTTCCGTGCTGATGAAAGCACTGTGGGTGTCCTAGACCCGGGCAGGCTTCCGCACAGACTCCCGCTGAACCCCGCGGAGCGCGTCCCCACCGCCCCAGGTCTCCCCATCGCGGCCGCGGGTGCACAGGACACCCTCCCCGGACAAGCACAACCATGGTCCGCAAAAGCAAGCATGAACCCTCGTGGACCTTTCCCCGGCCTTAACCGACAGCACAGCCCGCGAGGAAGCCCCCTCGGACCCGCGACGGCCCCCTCGGCCTGGCTCCCCGCGGCCACCGGGCAAGGTTCGGGGAGCCCAGCGCCTTCGCWTTTCATGGCCCACGACCAGGTCTCAGGCCCGGCTCTGCGGGCCTGATTCAGGGCTGGCATGGGGATATCAGGGATTCCCGCCCAGGTACAGCCTCGGGCCCCTGGCCCAGTTACCTGTGAGACAAGCAGCGGCGACAGCGACAGCAGCACCTCCCAGCTGGCAGCAGAGGAGTTCGTCCACTGAGACAGACAGAGTGCTCGCCGGGCCAGAGCGGCCTAGCTGCACTGCTGCCGGCGCGCCCCCTGCAGGTGGGAGGTCTGCGCAGCGGCTCTGCCTGCTCCGAAATAAGGGAAGATCATCAACAGAGAAGATCAACAGAAGAAGATCAACAGAGGTTTATCCAGTTGGAGCCCGGGAGCATTTTCCACTTTTTACCTCCTTTTCTAAGTATATGTTCTACCCCCTTGATTAAATGTAGGTTTCAAAGGCAAGGGCCGTTTTATTAGGTGTTATAAGCATCAATAAATAGTTGCTGGCTACTAGGCAAATCTTGCACAGAACCCAAATAGCAATAGCCAACTAATGGCTAATAGTTCTTATTCTAAAATAGAACCCAGATTTATTTTTCAAAAACAGATTGAATGTTCACACCTCACTTTATAGTAGTCCTTGACTTTTTGCAACATGTCTACAGCCAAAACTAAAAGTGTGGTGGGAAGTTCATGACCCAAACATTCTTTCATGCAAAACTTTCTTCTTCTTTTTAGTTGACTAACTTGGTCCTACATCCAAAGACTTCCCCTCCACAGTAACGGTGCCTCATCTGAATTCCAGCACCACTCACTCAAYCAAGCCACCCTCTAAGATGTCTCAGGTCCATCCATTCAAGGACCATCTAGTCAGTCTGATAGTTCTTGGCACAGTCATRTAAATGTTCAGGATTTCTATCAAATTTGAGGAGATCATGATCAAATTTTTTCATATAAAAATTATAAGATCTCTAATCGAGGAGAGGAGGGAAAATAATGGGAGGGATGAAGGAAAGGAAAAGGTGGGATGGGATTAAAATCAAATTCCTTGCATGTAGTATTTTGTCAGAATGAACCCAAATGCTATGCATAATTGTAATGCTCTAATAAAATTTTTAAAAAGAATTATAAGATATCAGGGCCATTATAAGACCTCACATTTTCTTGTGTGGTGCCTAGTCATAAATATTACTCTTTGAATTAATGACACATTAATCAATTTGCCATTGATGTCCTCCTGGTGGTCATGTATTGAGTTTATATCTTCACTGATGTTAATAAATTGTGTCAAATCAGCAAGTAATTTAAGCCTTTCTACAATATATTCATACAATTACCTCATCTTCATTAACTGGTATGTCAAATAATCTAAGAGGTTATTCATTACTTTATTACAAATTTATCTCTTCCTCTTCATGAATTACTGCTTTGATTCGATTTTTTTTTTAATTTAGGGATTCTGAAGATAGCTTTTCCCCTCTAATGAGATTAAAGAAATGAACTGCCAGCAACACATATACTGTGGCTTCTTCATGTCACTGCACCTGGGGACTATGACATAACAGGTACTAGGAGTGTTCTTGGAAGTTACTCTTCATTCCAGTAATAACTTAATGCCACATGGAAGTGACCATGAACCACAAGAATATATCCTGCTAAATATAAAACAAGTATTCCTAACCACTTTTAGTGGGAGCCCCCAAAATACCTGTAACCACCTAGTGCTGCTCATCTAGGGGAGAAGAATGTCTGGGGATATCTGAGTGGAAAGATAACAGCAGTCTTAGTTGTAGCTAAAATACTTTAATTTTGCAAACTCTACAAAAGTGAAGCATACTTCTCTGAGTCCTGTTGTGATGTGAACTGCTCAATATAATCAATAAGTCATAGACATAGGTAATAGATTATAGGAATAAGGTGAGATGACATAGATAAGCAATAGTAAGACATAAGTTCAGAGATAAGTCCATCAGGAGTAAGCCTAAGTAATAGTAATAAAATCATGTAACTGTAAAACATAGTATTTAGGCCACAGAAAAAAAGATATGGAACAGTTAAAGGTGATAAGTCAGTATGCCAGTATAGTTATAGATAAATATACACTGATAGGTTAATATAGATATAGACAAGGTTAAAGCACTATAATTGTGAACAATTATATTAGCTTGGTCATGTAGACATAAGGCTTATAGATATCAGTAGTAAAATGATGAGTAAATGAGATAACTACAAGCATCAAATCAGTTACTGGTACTGGGATAGTGGGAATGGAGTCGTTGTGGCTGTACGAACAAAAAGTGTAGCCCTAGGGACTCCATCTTAACTGTTCTAGACTTTATCTTAGTTTTTCTGTTACTGCTCCTGTGTAGAGGAAACTGCATGACCCATTTCTGAGAAACAGAAATGAAAGCTGTCTTCTTTTTAAAATTTTATTTTTCTGCACTTTGTACCTCACAGAATGTACCCAACTCAGGATATAGTGGTGGTCGTGGTGAACTACATCCTGGGTTTGAGTATAGTCATGGGTCTACATGACTTTGAAATAGATTATCGCCCCCCACTCAGCTGTTTGGACCTGAGACACAGTTAACTAGTTGTAAGCTAACTGCTTTTTTTAGCTTCTGTAACTTGCTTGCTTGCATGATGCTTAGAAAAGCCCTTAAATTGTAGGTTTTGTCCTTAAATTCCCAAGACACAGGCCTGGAAATTGCTGTTCTCCCACAGAGCATAGGTCTCTATGGGTGGGTAACAGTCCCTGCCAGGTAAATAAAACTCTCTTTTGTTTGAGTTAGGACTTAGAGTGTTTTCTGAGGCAGCTCCCCATGACAGTCTTTCTAAGGGACTATGTGAATATACTTCAAGAGTCCCTCCCAGGATTCTAGGAGGGCCTCATACACAGGAGGACTGTGTATTAGTTTCCTATTGTCACTGTAACAGATTATCACCATTTAATGGCTTAAAACATTGTGTATCTTACAGGTCAGAAGGTCAGAAGCCCATGATCCATTTCTCTGGACTAAAATCCAAGTTCAGCATTGTGCTCCTTCTGGAGGCTCTCAGGAGAACTTGATTCCTTACCTTCTCTTGCTTCTAGAGGCACCTCCATTCCCTGGYTCCTGGATCCTTCCTCCATCTTCAAAGCCAGCAGCATAGCATCTTATGTTCTCTCTGGATTTTGCTTCCATCCTTGTGTCTTCTCTAATTTTGAGTCTCCTGCCTTCTAAGGGCTCTTATGCTTACATTGGATACACTTGGATAATCCAGAACAATCTCCCCATTTTAAAATCTTAATCATCTCTACAAAGCCTTCTTTACCATGCAAGGTAACATTTTTATAGGTTCTGGGGATTAGGAGATAGACATCTTTGAGGGACTTGTTATCCAGCCTATCATAAGGGCCTGGAAGCTTACATTTCATTCTCTTCAGGTAAATCTGCCTTTTTGTCTTCACTATCCTAAGTCTGATCCAAGTTCGGCTTGCGATGTTTCTAGGGGGGGAGGCACACCTGTAATTGCAGCTTGGATAGGAGTTACAAAGGGAAAGAAGGAAAATACTATCAGGGCAAACAAATTGGGATCTAACTCAGAAGGTAGTGATGTCTTTGAATGTTGACATTTAATCAAGACTCAAAACATAAGGAGTTCATCGTGTAATGAACAGGAGAAGTGTTCTAAACAGAGGGGACAGTTGTGTGGCCTGTGATTGGTGACATCAGAGRGTCAAGGTGGCCGAGTTGTATCTCTAACATTGAATCCTTGGCATTGCCACAATGACTGGCACATAGCATGATTCAGGAATATTAGCTTGGTAGTTCTCAACCCTGGTGAGACCAAGGCAAAGGACAGGTAACTGATTATCAAAGAAATATAAATGAGTAGATAGTACTCCCTATCCATGGCTTGGTTGCTCACAACCTCCAGGGGAAAAGAAGGATCACATTTTCCACCCCCTGGACAGCCCTCTTTCTGCCCTTTTGGTCACTTTTGGTTATGTAGGCAAGCTAAGAGGAGGAGGAAGCGGCATGAGAAGAGAGGAAACCTAAAATCAATAAAAGAGGCAAAACACCCCCACTCCCTTGGGCACCAGCTCTGGACCCCCTCTTCTCCAGAGGTCTCTCTCTCTCTCTCTCTCTCTCTCTCTCTCTCTCTCTCTCTCTCTCTCTCTCTCTCCCTCCTATCCTTTAATTAAAATTTTTGATCTGGCTTCAGTGTTTCTAGGTGTTTAATCTTCAACATCAGGGGAATGAGGATCTGGTCCTGATTTTCAAGACCATTTTCACTGGCAGCACATTACAGTCACCACAGTTTAAAAATACCAGATCCTGCTGAAGACCAATTCAGAATTGTTTAGAAGCAGGGCCCCAGCATCTGTATTCTTACTGATTTTATTATTTTATTTTTTGCATGCTGGGAATCAGACCCAGGACCTCACGCTTGCTAGGTAAGTATTCTACCCACAAGCCATGATCTCCAGCCCGACATCCATATTTTTAAAAGCTACTCAGGAAATTCTAATGTGCATCCAGGGCTGGGTCGAGAACCATTGTATTAGATACAAGTGAGTAAATGAATGAAGGAAATAAAACATTTTCCCAGGGTAGGATTTTCACTTGGGAAATTTCCTTCTTCTCAGGGAAAAAGAAAGCTTTTGGCTTTACTGGATGCGGGCTTCGGTGCAGTCTTAGAAAATGCAGAGGACTCTCAGAAACATAATTGAACACTTATCAGGAGAGGCTCAAAGYGATCTAGGAACCCTCCCAGTATAACCAGTTGTCTTTTCAGAAAAGAGATGTGGTCAGAAAGGGGAGGGGTTTTAAAAACACATTGTACCTGCAAAGGAAGGGGCACTTCTTGCTGGTTTTGAGTTTTGCTCCCATGTTCCAAAAGTGCATTTTGTTTGTAATACTGAGGAATAACCAGGAGGGGGAGACAGGTTCCAGAAAAGTGCAGCTTCTGCAGGTCTCCCTCGTGCCTCCAAGCTGGCTCCATCAGGTGTTTTAGCACAGTTCTCAGGCACTGCCACAGAATGGGAAAGCCCCCGGCTATGAGCTAAGTGGTACTTATTTGTCTATGCCGGAGTTAGATTGATTTCAGCTCCATAGTAGTTTTAAACATTTAAATCATGGGGTCCGGGGGCTAGGGGTGGGGGTTGGCTCGGGAAGAGGCATGCCTGGGTGCCAGTCTTCAACATTGTCTTTGCAAAACAGTTTGAGGAAAATTTTGAAGCCTGGAAG